TGTTAATACTCGATTGATGATAGTTATCATCCGATATGTATGAAATTTATATGCATCATTTAAATTTGTAAAACGGGTCTATTGAATTTCAGCAATTTCCGTCAATAATTTCTAGAGTTATGGCGATTGTGAACGTTTGAATGACAAAAGTGATCATGTGATCTGTATGAAATTTATATACATTATTTAAATTAGTAAAACGAAAAAGCCTGTCAAATTTCAACAATTTCTGTAGATTACTTCCAGAGTTGAGACCCTTGTTTCAGTTTGTAGAACCTTGTAAACCCTCAAACGACAAAATTTATAATCTGATCTGTATGGAACTCTCTTGTAAAGGCCCCCAATTACCTACAAAGGAATAAATATGCGACAACCCTTGACGACCGCTCGGACGATTTAGCTGCTGTGGGCGTATGTTTTGTTGCCTGGCAACCTATCTTAATACATGTTATTACCGTAAACATACTAAAATATTGCAGACTGGGCCCGCAGTAAAGGGTACGTTCACTTTGCATCAAACAGTATTCAAACCAGCTTTGGTGGCAAAATGTTTTTTTATTTCTCAGAATCAAGGGATGAATAAACTACTAGACTGCAAAATTCCATAAGCCGCCTATGTTGTATTGTATTCAAGACGCCTATTTCACACAAAATATTATTTTATATCCATATGGACCTTCCATATAAACATCTATCTGCATAATAAGTTTATGAAAATATGCATTTAAACAACATTTAGATATTATCCACCACCTGTTACACTGTCCCCTCAAACTAATTGTTTATTGGAATTTTCTATTAAATGGAAAAGTGCTTGTCGCAGTAAAATACTCGATCAATATACCAAGTGTTAATTTATATAATAATTTAATAAAATATCTTTCTGCAATAAAATGCTTTTTATACGCCCACATTGAAATGTGGTTGTATATTGTCGTCCGCCCCCGTCCGTCCATCCGTTCGGCGGTCCGTCCGTCCGGCGGTCCGTCCGTCCGGCGGTCCGGTGTCCACAACTGCTTGTGGACGCTCTAGAGGCCAAAGTTAATATCCGATTGACTTTAAATTTATACACTGTGTTTAAGGTCATGAGATGAAGAAGCCTATTGATTTTCAGCGATTTCTGATAATTACTGCCAGAGTTATCGCCCTTGATCACTTCAAAAAATCTTATGGACGCTCTAGAGGTCAAAGTTAATATCCGATTGAGTTTAAATTTATACACAGTGTTTAAGGTCATGAGACGAAGAAGTTTATTCATTTTCAGCCATTTTCGATAATTACTGCCAGAGTTATGGCCCTTGATCACTTAAAAAAATCTTGTAAATGCTCTAGAGGCTAAAGTTAATATCCGATTGACTTTAAATTTATACACAGTGTTAAATGTCATTAGACGAAGAAGCCTATTGATTTTCAGCGATTTCTGATAATTACTGTTAGAGTTATGACCCTTGATCACTTTGAAAAATCTTGTGGATGCTCTAGAGGCTAAAGTTAATATTCGATTGAGTTTAAATTTATACACAGTGTTTAAGGTTATGAGGCGAAGAAGTTTATTCATTTACAGCGATTTTCGATAATTACTGCCAGAGTTATGGCCCTTGATCACTTCAAAAAATCTTGTAAATGCTCTAGAGGCTAAAGTTAATATCCGATTGACTTTAAATTGATACAGTGTTTGAGGTCATGAGACGAAGAATTGTATTGATTTTCAACGATTTCCGATAATTACTGCCAAAGTTATGGCCCTTGATCACTTTTAAAAACCTTGTGACCCTCTAGAAGCTAAAGTTATCATCCGATTGACTTCAGATTCATACACAGAGTGTAAGGTCTTGAGACAAACAAGTATATTGATTTTCAATGAATTTTTATGACTTGAACAGCTAAATCCATGATGTTAAAAGTTTCCTATACTAAATGTTAGCATGGGGCAAAACTTTATAAAAACCAAACAAATTCTAATGGTTTTCTGATATTTACTTAATGAGTTGTTACTGTTAATCAGATTTTAATGTATTATAAATCAAATAAATGTTTCATTACCGAAAAAAGTAAAAATATGTGACAACTCTTGTTGACTGCCCAGACAAGTTAGCTGCTGTGGGCGTATGTTTTGTTGCCTGGCAACCTATCTTTGAATAAAACGGAAACATACTTTTCATTCGTTATTGTAGCTGTAAAATAATATACGAATTATTATTTTATATAGCGTATTTCTACTGATCAATAAAGTAATCAGGTACCGCAGAAATTTGCAACACTTTTTAACATCCCATCTGTCCTCTCCCTTTTTAGGGATGGGTTGAAGAAGAATATAGTAGTTTCAGGGCTCCCAAAACTAGTTTAGGTTCTTGCGTAATTTGGTGTCCCCGTTTAATCATGAATTTATGTTGTTTTTGATGAATTGCTAAGGTTGCCGCAAGTTAGATGTGCAGAAGCTAGAAACACCAAGATAAACTCTATAAAGCACAGTTTACATTAAAAACGAAACTGAAAGCGAAACTTTTACTTTCGTCTTTGTTTTATTAGGCGCTACAAATCTGGAAGTTTTTCAATATTTTTGGTAATTGCGGACCTTTTTCCAACCAATGTGCTTTAGCAAAATGACCTCCAGTTACCACATATATACGCCAAGTGACGCTAGAGACTAGGTGTCTTTCAAAACGTTTCGTCGAGTTGCTTGTCCCAGGGCCTGGATGTCGCTGTCGCGGGCCATGAAATAAAGTCCAACTAATGTGTTTTGATGGATTATATATCTTTAATATGTGCCAATCCATAATCCGGATGATGCCAATACAAATTAGTATTCCAATATGACGACTTTATTCAAAATATGCCCACAATTGACGGGAAATTTCGATGTTAGCAATGTGGTGGCATAATAGGTCAAATAGTAGGTTTTCAGGGTAGGCAAATTAACATCTGAACTCCAAAATGTGCCATGACCGAACAAAACACCAATATGGTACTCAAATTTGACAAAATATCTATGTTCAGTAGACCATGAAAGACAAAATTACATTTAGCAGTTCAGATATGAATTCGGCGACCTCGAAAACCCCCAGTTTAACGTATTACACCATCACATTACTACAATTAACATTGAAATGTCTCTCCGTCTTCATTATCCTGTTACACCCTAAGGACGTCTGAGTTCGAATTTCGTGCAAATCGACCCAAAACTGGAAGTCGAACAGCAAATCGGAACCTAATTCAATAAGCATCGCAGGCTAGCGATGACATCGAGAGTTGATTATGGTCTGAATAAGTTAATTAATGTTTAATTAATAATTTAGATAACATTTCAGGCCTAAAGAAAGACCTGCAATTTAGGCAGATTTAGCTCTTGCACAAATAATAAAGAATATTAAATGCTTGATAGAATAAGTAATCGCATCTGTCACGTTACTTGACTTGGGAAGAATCCATTTTTAGCTTGTATTAGTCGTTATGACCACTGTCTATTTATCATAAATTAGATAAGTAATTCTTGGATTATCTTCTGCCAATTACTTTTTCTTCCAATTAATCGCAGAGTCTACTGGACGTTTAACCCCCTTAATCTTCTCACAATCATAAGCCATTTAGATCAACACATAAGAAGCACTCCTTACTTCACTCAAGCTGACAGGCTGTCAGTTAATGGCTCCCTTACAATTTTGTTTTGTGCATGCCCCATGTGTGTTTTTCATGGAATCCAGTATTTTTCTAGTAAGATTGCGTGTCTTTACTTCCCATATATATAATAAAATAATAATAATAATATATATTTTTTATAAACCGTTACACACAAATTGTCTCAACCATCTTTACATGGGTGTACTACATTGTATATACATAATAATAAATAAATAAAAACTATCAATAATTGGTTAAGTTAAATAAAGATATAGAAATGTATGCCTATAAAAACATTAGATTGACTAGTAGTATTATTGCCTAATTGAATAAAATATGTTTTGAGGTTGGATTTAAACAGGCTGAATTTGGTGAGTGATCTAAGTCTTAGTGGCAGCTCATTCCAGAGAGTAGGCGCGGCACAACTGAAGGCGCGATTGCCATACAACTCACTGGTTTGTTTTCCATGTGTTTTGTGGGAAAACCTCATCTCACTGCTTCTGGTCCGATAAGATGGAACTTGAATACTAATGATATTAGTGAGGTAGCAAGGCGCTGACTCACTATGCGTATTAACTTGAAAATTATACATGACAGTTTGAAATGAACCCGCTTCTCAACTGGGAGCCAGTGTAGTTCCCGAAGAATGGGCGTCATCTCTTCGAGCAGCGGAATTCTGAACATGTTGTAATTTCTTTAACTTGTATTTTGGGAGACCATAAAAAAGACTGTTACAGTAATCCAGTTTTGATGTCACAAAGCCATGCACCAATTTCTCAGTACTGGCCTAGTCTAACAAATGCCGGATTCGCCCTATACGCCACAGCGAGTGAGAAGCCTTGCTACACACACTCTTGATCTGATCATCCATCAGTCCGGCCGAGTCCATCATCACCCCCAAGTCCCATGCGGAAGCCGATGGTGAAACAAGCACCTCACCAACTCGTACATCACCCGCGACAACCTGCGGACTTGCATTTTTCCTGCACGATGAGAAACGGACGATTTCAGTCTTATCGTCATTGAGTGCAAGTAAGTTTGCACGCATCCAGAGACGAATCTCATCTATACAGGCCTCAATACAACCGGCAGAAATCGAGTCCATTCGCGAGTCACAAGTGACTGGGTGTCATCAGCGTATATTACGGCATATATATACCAAAATTGGAAATAACTACCCGATAAATACTTTGTGGGAATGTATCTTTAAATATTACATGGAGCAATTTTACACAGCTCCCAACAGTTTATGGTTAATTTTGTGTGCATAATAAATGAAGGTGTCGTTATAACATTGGCAGATATTTTGACTACAACCTCCACATTATAATGAAGCTGTATTGAATGGTATATTGTAACGTTTTTTATTTTTTTTATTACAGGCAGAAGATAAAAGAGAGAAACTCCAGGACGCTCACAAATTCCATTTTGATGCCATGTAACAAATTGTCTTCCAACGTTCTTTCATCACGGTCATTTGTGATTGTATTATACTGTGTGCATGGAAAAACTACACCAATAGCTAGGCAATGTCCAAGAAAAACGTTTTATGGACATTATTTACTGCTCTGGATTGTCTGAAATTAATGTTACCCTGTTCCCTTTGGGGTTTTTTTTGTCCCCCGCCTTTCGAAGAAAGCAGGGGACTATTAAAATGGGTTCGTCCGTCTGTCTGTCCGTCTGTCCGTCTGTCTGTCCGTCTGTCTGTCCGTCACACTTTTTGGGACACAATAACTCTCTTCCTAATTGAGCTAGAATGTTCAAACTTGGTGTATGTGTTTATTAGGTCAATGCCTTGATGGAGTTCGAAGATGAGCATTTTCCGCTTAGGGTAAGCAGAGATAAGCAATTTGATTGGTTGATACTTTGGGGCACGATAACTCTCTTCCTAATTGAGCTAGAATGTTCAAACTTGGTGTATGTGTTGATTAGGTCAATGCCTTGATGGAGTTCGAAGATGAGCATTTTCCGCTTAGGGTAAGCAGAGATAAGCAATTTGATTGGTTGATGCTTTGGGACACGATAACTTTAGTTCTAATTAAGTGAGAACTATTATAAATTAATTAAATATGTAGTATGCAATAATGAATTGACATTTAATGACAGAAAGAAAACAGTGAACTTTGCACAACTTGCAGCAAGATGGAAAATAGACCCGTAGATGCAACCAAACTCTAGATCTGTAGGCATAGAGCATGTTTTCCCCTTAATATGCTATAATTATTCCATCAAAAACATTGTATGCTTAGACTATAAGTAAAGATATACTGTTTGATTGTTCAATACTTTGTAAAAGATAATTTGTGATAAATTTATATGTGTCCTCTAATTATTTTCCTATTTCGGCGGGGGACATCAGCCTCACTGTTGGCTTGTTTAAGTTCTTTGGATTTAGTTCACTGTTCTGGAACATACAAAATTCCCCTGAGGTTTTTGATTGGTGTCAGCTCTTGTAAATTAAATATGTGGGGGAGGAGAGTATGTGATCTAAGTCATGTTTCAGATACAAGTCTAAACTTGCTCTAACATTTACAGGAGGAACATGACATTTCTTACCCTACCAAAATCATGGTTAATCTTCTCCATTGGACATTTTAGCAGGCAATTAATTAAAGATACATTATGGGAGGTAAGATAAAGAGCTGGCAGTTCTCACTATAATAGTTAAAAACTAGATAATGTAAAGGGAATTTGCTAAAAAAATTTCAGTCAAATTGATCCACTCTGTACCAAGATTTTAGCGATTGAATTTTCTGTCTAGCCTCGATCATCATTACTAAAGTCGGTACGATAAACAGCACAGTCTCGATTATCCATTTAATCGTTAAATCGTGAAGAAAAGTTATGCAGTAAATCGGCTCATAATCCACTAAAGATCGCAGGCTAGCAATGACACTGAGATTTGATTATGGTCTGGATAAGTTAATTAATGTCTAATCAATAATTTAGATAACATTTCAGGCCTAAAGAAAGACCTGCAATAGGCAGATTTAGCTCTTGCATAATGTATGTTTGATTAATTATATAATGGAGCATATACTGTAATATGGGAATCTCCAGATACTGTGTCGGCATTTCAGCTGCAGGTCACTGTGGGACTTTTGGAGATCAGGACTGAAAATTATTCAGGTTTCTTTACCCAGGAGCAATTGATTTTATTATTATTATTATTATTCGCACAGTGACATCAAGTATGTTATGTTTGTGCAAGATAAATATATTATATGTAATTTATTTAATTTATATATATCCATGTATATACAGACACTTATTATTATTAGGAGGTAAACAAGTCTTTAAATACCCTCATATTCAAAGTTGTGTTTTTATCTTTTCATTAAAAGAATCTACAGTGGTCTATTACTCATATTGTGTTAAATTTTAATGGTTTACCCACAGGAGCTTTATAATTGTTTTTTTTTTTTTTTGTTTTGTTTTTTTTTAAACTATTTTTCATTCAATAAGAAAAGGATTGGGGAACAGACTACACCAGTATTAGTCCTCTCCCTTCAAAAGGATTTAATTACTAATTACAATTAATTTACATAAATGTGTAGTCAGAAGTATTCATATTGTGTTAACTTTTAAAGGTTTATTCGCAGCACCTTTTACTGTTATTGTTTGTTTCTTTTAAACTTTATTTTATTCAATAATAATAAGACTGGGGAGGGAACATGCTTAGTCGATATATCAACCCCCTCCCTTCAAAAAAATTTAATTACAATTAATTTACTTAAATATATAGTCGGAACATTTCATATAGTGTTATTGATAACAGTAAACAGTATGATAATTTAATTACAATTAATTTACATAAATATATAGTCGTAACTTTTCATATAGTGTTATTGATAACAGTAAATATGAAATTAAATATGAAAATTTAATTACAGTTAATTTACATAAATATATAGTCGGAACGTTTCATATAGTGTTATTGATAACAGTATACAGTATGAAAGAAAATAATAGTATTTTCACAAAAAGATTATTCAATATAGATTGAGTCTGATGAAGGCTACAAGCCCCGAAATTATACCCTCATTAATTATTATCAGAAATTAAAGACGAAATTATGTTTCTTTCGAAGTTTAAATCGTGTTTCATTTCTCAGAAAACGAACTATTAAATGTATAAAAAAGACATGAAATGAACTGGGGTTTATGGTCCTATTGTTACGCTGGGTAATACTGTTATGCTGGACTAAGCTAATTGTGAGAGAGAGACAGTGATAGTGACAAAATGGAAATGGACGAAGTAATGTAAATATTGGAAACAAGTGGCTATGATATCGTTTTGTGTGAGTATTTATGCAAATCAAAACGACTAGATTGAAGAAAAAACATATCTGAGTGAATCGACAGAGGTTTGATTGCCTGACAATACGAATTGTTGAGAAAAAACGAGCCGAAGCGAGAGCAGGTAAAATCGAGTCAACAGGCATTGCATTCCTGTTCTTTTTTATTATATATTGTCTGGTTAGACATGGTGTATGCATATATACTATTCAAAAAAAGTAGGGGATATTTGATTTTTAAGTGTTATTAAAGTCACCTAATGAAACTGACGAAGAAACAAATGACAAAATGAAATGAAGTTCACATTCATCGATTTATTCCAAATGATCGTTAGACTAAGTAAGGCACAGACTGACCATTATAAGGGTAAAATGATACCCGGGGTCAAACAGCAAAGTTACCACAGCATCACAACCAAGTCAGTAACAGGTAAATCCTCCTCTGTTTGCCAAACAAGCATTGATCCGACGTGGCATACTCCTAATGAGACGTCTAAGGTCATTTTGGTCCAGATTGTCCCATTCCTGTTGCAACGCAGCAGCAAGTTCTTGGACATTGGCAGGACGTTGTTGACGTTGACGTAACCTCTGTCCAAGCATGTCCCAGACATGCTCGATGGGGGAGAGGTCGGGACTCAGTGCTGGCCAAGGTAATGTGGTGATGTTCTGTTGTTGGAGGTAACCTGTAACGATCCTGGCCCTGTGACATCTTGCGTTGTCATCCTGGAAGATGAAACGGCGGCCATGACGTCGTGCGAACGGCACAACATGGACTGCCAAGATGTTGTCCCGGTAGTACTGGCCTGTAACACGCCCTGCAACAACATGTAAAGCCGTTCTTCCAGCAACAGTGATGCCTCCCCACACCATAACAGAACCACCCCCAAATCGATCATGTCTAATGACGTTAACGTCTTGGAAGCGCTCGTTTCGACGACGCCACACCCTCCTACGTCTGTCCAAAAAATCAACAGTGAACCTTGACTCATCTGAAAACATCACATTGCTCCAGCGTCGATTATCCCAGTGTTGACGATCTCTACACCAACGACGTCTTGCCTGAATGTGATGATCTCTCAAACAAGGGATCACGCAAGGACGTCGGGCGCGAAGGTGACCCCTATGCAGTCGATTCCGAATCGTCTGGCCACTCACTCTCACACCAGTGTCTGTTTGAAGACGAGCGCTGATCTGATTTGCTGTGATGACACGATTTCTCAAGGCCAAGGTACGGATAAATCGATCCTGGGCTTGAGTTGTCGACCTGAGCGTGGTCTGTCCTGTACAGATTGTGTATCACGGTATCTGGACCATAGCCTGCTTATGACAGACTGAGAAACCTTCATCGTCCGTGCCACAACCGCCTGTGTTGTGCCGATCTGTAGCATGCCAAGGGCACGTAACCTTTCATTTTGGGTAAGCCGACGCATATCAAAATTTGTTTTCTGGTCACTAAAACAATTAAACTGATGTTTCCACCCTGGAATTCAATGCCACAATGACTGTAACATTCAAAGTCAGAGTCGTGCAAATCTTGGGTTGGACCCCCATGATGATCCCAAGCATCACCTGCATTCCATGCGGTAGCTATTGGTGCGTTTGGGCGTCACATGTAACTGGAAATGTTTCTTCTGTTAGGTTCTATAGTGACTTTTTTCGTAGTCATTTGCATATTTTAGTATTATGCCCCCAAAATCAAATATCCCCTACTTTTTTTGAATAGTATATATACGGATAGAAGGTCAGACTCCTGTGGTGAAAGGTTCACAACATTATATAATCATAATGCTTAACCTGTGTCAAACATATACCGTGGGTCAGATATGCTACAAATCGACTAGCATGACAGTTCCATACAGCCCAATATTACCCGGCTGAACACTCATATAAATATTGTTTTCTGGGGGGCCCAGATGTTAGCGATTTAGCTCCTTCAATATTGGTAGATAATAGTTTAGAAACCTATTTGACCGCAAGAAAATCTTAGGGGAAATCCTATCACGGGGAGTCAATGCCATAGAGGTGTATATATTGACAACCATGGTGACGGTCAATAGCTGACTCCTACAACTGCGCATGCGCTAAATGGTAATCACACAACAGGAACCATCTCACACTGTCACACCGGACGGGATCTTGTTCCTCATGCAATATCATCGGTCACCACCATGGGCGTCACACATGGGGGGTCCGACACCCCAAATTGTTTTTCGGGGGGGGGGGTCTGAATATACTTGGACCCCCCCAAAAAATTTACATAGTAGGCCCAAACTCCTATTTATTTACAACAATCATTAGGATTAGTTAAGATTCTATCTGTATAAAACCTGTACATATCCCAATATGGTTTATACTGCTAAAATAAAACACAGAGATAATCATCCTGGAAACATGTGTGAAGTGAAAAGTACCTGTGTTCCATAAAATTGTGTCTAGTTAGCCTGTCAGTAATATTTTGTTAATTTTTTTCTGCCACTTATCAGAGTGAATCGCATGTAGGTACCCAAAAACATAACCGCCTAAACCAAATATTTATCGCCCGCCCAGCCAGCAACGTAACCATAATGCTTTTGCACGCAGTGTCTTGGTAGACAGCATGGCCACATGGTGTTTGTTTATATTTTTTAGGGGTTTTAAAAAATGGGTTAGGGTAAGGGGTTAGGGTTGCGGACCCCCCCTCCCCCCCAATATATATTTCACGGCTACGCCTCTGGTCACCATGCCCCTGATTGAAACCCTTTGGATTTATATAAGTGATAACATATATTCTACATCAGCAGGGTAAACCAAAGTACAGTTTTGATCAATTGGGAGTAGCATTTGTTTATTTTTCTCTTATCAGTAATCATAAATAAACCATTATAAAGGTCTCAAGAAGAAATAAATTTGTATTAAAAACACACGTATAAATATCAACAGAGTAATATATCATAGCCTATTTGACAAATCAAGAACAAAAATATTTAACTGTGTACATATTATATCTACAAATCTAATAAAAATAATAGTATGGTTTATAATGGGCACATTCTATTCGTGTATGCTCATGGCGCAAACAATTATGACCGGGCTCGACTATCAGCAATCAACTAATTAATGGCCCACCTGTTTCAAATTTATTCATAGCTAATTAATTAACCAGCGGCTGCCAGGCAGGATACGCCCACGAGAGATGGATAGAGAACAAGCTAAAAAGAAAGTGATTTTTCCTACAATCAAGGGCCATAATTCAGGAAATTACAATTCGATATTCGCAATTATCGATTTAAGGAACCGAGATCTTTGGGTTATAAACTTACATTTCAAGTTTCAACAAAATCGGATACAAATTGTGACCTCTAGGGTCCACAACCTTGATATACCATATTTTTACGCTATTTGAGAACGAGAGAGAGAGAGAGAAATGGGGTTTAACGTCCACTCAACACAAAGTAGGTCATTTCGGGACTAACATATGGTTTAATTTTATTTCAATAATTTGCTTGCGCGTAGGGGTCTTTAGCAGTGGGAGGAAACCGGAGGACTCGGAGAAAACCCACGAGGTTGGACAGGCGACCCTACTCCTTGTCACGTACAACCGGGGATTCGAAACCACGCCAGTCGACTCAATGACAGACTTTATGATACAGCGCGCGCACGCTAACCATTCAGCCATCCAACCCCCCTATTTGAGAACGAGGGGCAGCCTTGATATACCATATGTCATCCTGGAAGATGAAACGGCGGCCATGACGTCGTGCGAACGGCACAACATGGACTGCCAAGATGTTGTCCCGGTAGTACTGGCCTGTAACACGCCCTGCAACAACATGTAAAGCCGTTCTTCCAGCAACAGTGATGCCTCCCCACACCATAACAGAACCACCCCCAAATCGATCATGTCTGATGACGTTAACGTCTTGGAAGCGCTCGTTTCGACGACGCCACACCCTCCTACGTCTGTCCAAAAAATCAACAGTGAACCTTGACTCATCTGAAAACATCACATTGCTCCAGCGTCGATTATCCCAGTGTTGACGATCTCTACACCAACGACGTCTTGCCTGAATGTGATGATCTCTCAAACAAGGGATCACGCAAGGACGTCGGGCGCGAAGGTGACCCCTATGCAGTCGATTCCGAATCGTCTGGCCACTCACTCTCACACCAGTGTCTGTTTGAAGACGAGCGCTGATCTGATTTGCTGTGATGACACGATTTCTCAAGGCCAAGGTACGGATAAATCGATCCTGGGCTTGAGTTGTCGACCTGAGCGTGGTCTGTCCTGTACAGATTGTGTATCACGGTATCTGGACCATAGCCTGCTTATGACAGACTGAGAAACCTTCATCGTCCGTGCCACAACCGCCTGTGTTGTGCCGATCTGTAGCATGCCAAGGGCACGTAACCTTTCATTTTGGGTAAGCCGACGCATATCAAAATTTGTTTTCTGGTCACTAAAACAATTAAACTGATGTTTCCACCCTGGAATTCAATGCCACAATGACTGTAACATTCAAAGTCAGAGTCGTGCAAATCTTGGGTTGGACCCCCATGATGATCCCAAGCATCACCTGCATTCCATGCGGTAGCTATTGGTGCGTTTGGGCGTCACATGTAACTGGAAATGTTTCTTCTGTTAGGTTCTATAGTGACTTTTTTCGTAGTCATTTGCATATTTTAGTATTATGCCCCCAAAATCAAATATCCCCTACTTTTTTTGAATAGTATATATACGGATAGAAGGTCAGACTCCTGTGGTGAAAGGTTCACAACATTATATAATCATAATGCTTAACCTGTGTCAAACATATACCGTGGGTCAGATATGCTACAAATCGACTAGCATGACAGTTCCATACAGCCCAATATTACCCGGCTGAACACTCATATAAATATTGTTTTCTGGGGGGCCCAGATGTTAGCGATTTAGCTCCTTCAATATTGGTAGATAATAGTTTAGAAACCTATTTGACCGCAAGAAAATCTTAGGGGAAATCCTATCACGGGGAGTCAATGCCATAGAGGTGTATATATTGACAACCATGGTGACGGTCAATAGCTGACTCCTACAACTGCGCATGCGCTAAATGGTAATCACACAACAGGAACCATCTCACACTGTCACACCGGACGGGATCTTGTTCCTCATGCAATATCATCGGTCACCACCATGGGCGTCACACATGGGGGGTCCGACACCCCAAATTGTTTTTCGGGGGGGGGGGGGGGTCTGAATATACTTGGACCCCCCCAAAAAATTTACATAGTAGGCCCAAACTCCTATTTATTTACAACAATCATTAGGATTAGTTAAGATTCTATCTGTATAAAACCTGTACATATCCCAATATGGTTTATACTGCTAAAATAAAACACAGAGATAATCATCCTGGAAACATGTGTGAAGTGAAAAGTACCTGTGTTCCATAAAATTGTGTCTAGTTAGCCTGTCAGTAATATTTTGTTAATTTTTTTCTGCCACTTATCAGAGTGAATCGCATGTAGGTACCCAAAAACATAACCGCCTAAACCAAATATTTATCGCCCGCCCAGCCAGCAACGTAACCATAATGCTTTTGCACGCAGTGTCTTGGTAGACAGCATGGCCACATGGTGTTTGTTTATATTTTTTAGGGGTTTTAAAAAATGGGTTAGGGTAAGGGGTTAGGGTTGCGGACCCCCCCCTCCCCCCCAATATATATTTCACGGCTACGCCTCTGGTCACCATGCCCCTGATTGAAACCCTTTGGATTTATATAAGTGATAACATATATTCTACATCAGCAGGGTAAACCAAAGTACAGTTTTGATCAATTGGGAGTAGCATTTGTTTATTTTTCTCTTATCAGTAATCATAAATAAACCATTATAAAGGTCTCAAGAAGAAATAAATTTGTATTAAAAACACACGTATAAATATCAACAGAGTAATATATCATAGCCTATTTGACAAATCAAGAACAAAAATATTTAACTGTGTACATATTATATCTACAAATCTAATAAAAATAATAGTATGGTTTATAATGGGCACATTCTATTCGTGTATGCTCATGGCGCAAACAATTATGACCGGGCGCGACTATCAGCAATCAATTAATTAATGGCCCACCTGTTTCAAATTTATTCATAGCTAATTAATTAACCAGCGGCTGCCAGGCAGGATACGCCCACGAGAGATGGATAGAGAACAAGCTAAAAAGAAAGTGATTTTTCCTACAATCAAGGGCCATAATTCAGGAAATTACAATTCGATATTCGCAATTATCGATTTAAGGAACCGAGATCTTTGGGTTATAAACTTACATTTCAAGTTTCAACAAAATCGGATACAAATTGTGACCTCTAGGGTCCACAACCTTGATATACCATATTTTTACGCTATTTGAGAACGAGAGAGAGAGAGAGAAATGGGGTTTAACGTCCACTCAACACAAAGTAGGTCATTTCGGGACTAACATATGGTTTAATTTTATTTCAATAATTTGCTTGCGCGTAGGGGTCTTTAGCAGTGGGAGGAAACCGGAGGACTCGGAGAAAACCCACGAGGTTGGACAGGCGACCCTACTCCTTGTCACGTACAACCGGGGATTCGAAACCACGCCAGTCGACTCAATGACAGACTTTATGATACAGCGCGCGCACGCTAACCATTCAGCCATCCAACCCCCCTATTTGAGAACGAGGGGCAGCCTTGATATACCATATTTTTACGCTATTTGAGAACGAGGGGCAGCCATTTTGCCTGTCCGTTTTGGGCCGATTTTCACAAAATTCTAACTCAGCCGTCCTTAGGGTGTAACGGTGATACACTAAAACGTTTTTTTAAATCGGATAAAAATTATGACCTCTATAGGGTGCCATAAGCTAAAAACGCGATTTTTCCTACAATCAAAGGCCATAATTCAGGAAATTACAATTTGATATGCGCAAAATATCGAAAAGAACCGAGATCTTTGTGTTATAAACTTACATTTCAAGTTTCAACAAAATCGGATAAAAATTGTGACCTCTATAGTGTCCACAACCTTGATATACCATATTTTTATTTGAGAACGAAGGGCGGTCATTTTGTCTGTCAGCTTTGGGCCGATTTTCACGAAATTCGTACTCAGCCGTCCTTAGGGTGTAACGGTGATATACTAAAACGTTTTTTTTTTTAATCGGATAAAAATTATGACCTCTATAGGGTCCACAAGCCAAAAAAACGTTGTTTTTTTTGTATTAAATCGGATAATAATAATTGTGACCTCTATAAAAAGGGTCCACAAGCTAAAAACGCTATTTCTCGTACAATCAGGGGCCATAATTCAGGAAGTTACAATCCGATATGCACGAATATCGAAAGGAACCACGATCAGTGAGTTATAAACATGCATTTCAAGTTTCATTAAAATCAGATGAAAATTGTGACCTCTAGAGTGTCCAGAAACTAAAAACGTGATTTTTCGTACAATCAGGGGTCATAATCCATGACGTTATGGTCCGATACATGCCAATATCGAAAGGAACCCAGTGATTACGTTTCTAGTGTAAGGAAAGATTTGTAATATAAGAATCTTCAATGAAAAAAATGGAATTAAACAGTTAGAAGGTTTAATGGATCCATGTGATTTAAAGCGTCGACACATGGATCCAAAATTTTCACAGTCTACAACAGAATACAATACAGAACAGCTGTATTCATCCGCAAAAAAAATAGTACCTAAAATTCATGTACATTATATAGGTTTAAACGTCAAATGAATAGAGACGTCTTTAATATATACTAAATATTCGTATCATCCCAAATCGACAATAAAACAGTGAGAAAAAGGAAAATCTAATGGCAATCTAATTAACATAAAATTTACGACATAATCGATTCTTCAATGTTTTGATGGTGATCATGAAGAAAATACATCTGTTCTCAGGAATCCGATAAGATTTTCAAAAAAAAGATCAGTAGAATTATAGATTGTTATTCCACAAAGTCGAAAGGTATGTTAGATTTTTCATTCAGTCAAGTTAGTCGAGATCTGTGTGAGATAGACCTATAGGTCTAGTTTCGTTAAAAATGGATAAAAATTGTGACCTGTAGAGTGTCCACAAACAAATTGTGGACGGAAGGACAGGGACGACGGCATAACTCCATATCAAATAGTCGCATATCCGTAATAATAACTGCAACGCATTTACCAATATCATCAAATGGCGGCATCATACCAATATATTTAACGCAACGGATCTGCGACAATGTGCAATGAATAAGGAAAGAAAACTGTTCTTTGTATAATATGTTAATCATTAAATACCATTTTATGAGTGCGAAATCAAATAATTCTCCAAATGTGTACCGTATTATTATATAAGATGGCCATCAGTCTAATTTTAAATAATCTTGGGTTTGTTTGTTTTTTGGGGTTTTATTTGGGGGGGGGGTGTAAAATAACTATTTCAACCCCTCCATGGGTATTGTCTGGCTCTGGCAATAACAAAAAAGTTATTACGGATGTCCCCGTTATGTTTTGTTTCGTGAAATTCAAATTAACTTTCAATAACTTTGCGCACGAATGTGTTAACCGAAGAGGTAACGATTAGTCGGTAAAGGAATGCAAATTAACTCCCAAACATTCTTTGCACAAAGTCAAAGGCGCTACCTGACGAGGTATGATTGGGACACTTGTATCACCCCATACTCCTCGCAATGTGACTCTCTCTCTCTCTCCCTCTCTCTCTCTCCCTCTCTCTCAGTCCGGACTTTTTTCCGTATGTAAATCAGCTTCGTCGTAGATCCCATATAAGGTATATATGTTCTAATATGTTCATGATCAGGTCTATTATGCATTTGTCTAATATCCAAAATGCAGAATGGGGAAGTGTAATGCGCAAAATAACTATTATACTGTACTTTGTATTATGGACATTGGTATTATGGAGCAATGGAAATTGTAAAACTAAAATAGGCCTACGTATTTTGAACTGCTGACATATGCAGCTTCCACCGCGAACATTGAAATAATATTGGCAACGTTATCCTTCCATATTATTTAGTTTTCGCTTTAGTTACGTATGATTCATAGGATGGAATCGATATTTATATCACAGAGTGATTTATATATTATATATGATTCTGGTTTACGTCAATATATTTGTACTACATAGAATGAGGCTGGACTATTTAGTTTGTTTTGGATTTTTTGGGGTTGTTTTTTTTCTATGGATAACTGTGGGTTTGTAGCTCTGGAACCCTAGAACTGTACTATATACGATCAATGCTGGAACAATACATTATACGCCGGACACATGCCAATCTTGCAATCACAATAAACAATTTGTAACTATGGAAACATAGGTTGTTGTTAGCGCTGTGATTCCGCATAGTGTCCATCTCTGCATTTCACAATAAATTATTTAATGTATCGGCTTCTGCAGCAAAGAAGGCAATAACAGGTATGTTTACGAAATATATTCATTTTACACCAGATAACTGTAATAGTATTTGATAGATTCGACTACATTATAAGCGCAATGGCGGATCAATAGATACGGTCGTGCAAATCATCAAAGAAATAGATTGAAACGGTAGTTCAACGTCCCACGTTTTTGAACCATCCGGGTTAATGATGACGGACAGTGCGCTAGGAGGACAATTTTGCCCGGACAGCAGAGCTACGACCTATTATTTATTTAGAATTTAAACTGTTATGTGTTCTTTTGCGTAAACGCCAATGTTTCTCGTCCTACCGAACGAATAGATGCTGTTCCTTAACAGTGGGAAACCGCGGCAACCGCCCCGAAAGTGATGAACTAACTTCCCTAAATGGTTTTAATAAAAAACTATAAACGAATAAACATATAGTTATATCATTTTATGTAGCAGATATTTCAAAGAGCGGAATAATTTACACTTCACGGACCCGCTTCCAAAAGATAACCCATGCAGATTGACATTACTTAGAGTTGAATTTTGTCTTTTTAGGTGATTTATAATCCTAATTCAATCTAGATTATGTCTTCGTCGGTTCTATTTTAATTTAATAACGCGTGCTGACCCGTCTATACGTTTCGATTTCCAATGATACAACGACCTTCATCAAATATCAATGAATTACTATGATAATCACGCCATTCTAAACACAAAGAGATACGCTACCCGTGGAGAATAAAAAAAAATCAGCTGTACTACCTTGCTGTGTTTAGTTTTCGCGCTCCACTGCGAAAAATAAATGTAAAATTACAGTGAAAAATATGTAATTGCTTTAACAGAACGCTATAAAAATACTACTGCATGGTTTTATACTATAAATTTACTGTATTAGTGAGGTAACATGAGGTCACTGTAAAAACATTTGGTAAATTAACAATAAAAGTGTTGTTTTACAAGTTAGAACTGTATTTTTATTACATGTAATCTGCATTGATACAACTATGTTGGTTAAAAGTACTTATACCCATACTTTTTCTCGACTCTTTGATGAAAATGGGAGGGTATACACCGATACACGGCCACTTTTCACGGCCACTTTTGATATAATAATAATCTTTATTCAAAATCTCAGTGAGACACATGAATATAATATACACATAAAATATTTACAGTTAGTGATAGTATACGTACATAGTATTTTCAGATAATATAATATACACATCATTACAGATAACATTCAGTATTCATTTAAACTTATTTAAACTTATTTACAATAATAGAGATGAATTTACATAGATTCTCCAGTTCTGCACTGTGGCTATTAAATATATTGTACACGTTGATAGCTGAAGGACACTTCAGGTAATAACTTTTTATAAATTTACAACGTTCATTTTTAAGGATTTGGCATTTGAAAATGTAATGAAATTCGTCGCCTAATTCACCTGTATTGCAGAGAGAACAAATACGATTTTCTTCTGGGGTCTTTTATGAAAACCCCGGCTTCAATTGGCAGTCTATGACTTCGACATCTAAATTTACTAAAGTAATGTCTATATTTCGGAGGTAGATCTATTAAGTACTGTTCAAAGATGAACGTGGATTTAAATAAACGATAATTTTTGCATTTGCTTGTATTATGTACAGTGCTATTCCATTCTTGCTGATATTGATCCTTTAGCCTTACCAGTAAACATTGCTTTAACCAATTAGCATTAATGTTACAGGCTTGGGAATCCCAAATATAAGACAACCCAGCACTGTTCAAAGCGTCTTTTATATAATTTAACCATGTATTAGGCTCATATGATTTTTACAAAGTGTTATACAGTACACAAGCGATTTTAGATCTGGGACCAGTTACAAGCTTATACCAGTAATTAATCATTCTATATTTTATATAAATTTGCAAAGTTCACCATAGACCATAACATTTGGAGTAGACATTTTTACTTTTAATACATATTTACAAAATCTCAGTTGAAGTCTTTCTAACAGTATAATATCAGTAAAACCCCATATTTCACAACCATACAGGGCGATAGGTACTACAAGGCAATTAAACAAATGTATCTGGGTATCTACATCAAGATTTAGTTTACGAGCTTTTTGAATTAATGAAAACATTGCTGAAGATGCTTTGCTGTGAAGTTGTTTCTTGGCCTTGACAAAAGATCCATTAAAATTAAAAATTATACCAAGATAAGCATATTCGTGAACGTTTTCTATTTCAACATCTCCATAGGTAATTTTAGGTGTTTTTCTTATTTTACCTTTTGAAAAAACAATTGTTTTAGTTTTTGTTGAATTAATTTCAAGTTTCCAGACGGTGCAATATTCTAACATGGCATTGAATGCAGCTTGTAATTCTGATTCACTTTCTGCTAAAAGAACAGTGTCATCCGCATACAAAAGTGCAAATAGTTTCAGGTATACACCTACATTTTCAAGATCAGTTTCATGGACGCTTAAACCTTTATAGTGTTGTGACAAGAAAGATGACAAGTCTTGCAAATATATGGAAAACAGAAGCGGGGACAGATTTTCTCCCTGACGAACCCCAACTGAACAATTAAACATATCAGACCTGTTTCTGTTGAGACATACACATGATTTGGCATATTTATACAGATTATGAATAACACGGAATATCTTGCCTGTTATACCACAGTCTAACACTTTCTCCCACAAGGGTAATCTGGGAATCTTATCAAATACGGAACGATAATCAACGAATCCAGCGTATAGCCGTTTTTTATTACCAATATACAGATCGATAAGACATTTCAGTGAAAATATATGGTCAAGTGTGGAATAGTTTTTTCGGAAACCTGCTTGTTCGGGACCAAGTTTATAATTCGATTCTACGAATTTCGTCAGCCTATTATTGATAACTGAAGTGAACAATTTACAGAAACAGCTTAGTATAGTTACACCGCGATAGTTACAAACATCATCTTTACTACCTTTATTTTTATAAATTGGAAAAATCATACCAGAGCACCATTCGGTAGGTACAAGTCCTGTATCCAAAATCACATTAAATAATATCACATATATCGGTATCATGGTCAGTTTCGTACATTTGATATATTCATTTAGAATTTCGTCCATTCCATGTGACTTGTTGTTTTTCAAATTATTAATACAATATTCTATTTCAATATCCGTAATTGGCTCGTTGATAACATCATTGTCACCCACAACACAGTCAATCAGTGAGAAGTCATCTGGAACAAAGTTACTTTCGTTGCTTTGGTTTAAGTTTCTGAAGTAGTCATATAGCGAATCTATGCTTACATCAAACGTATTAGACGATTTTTTGCTTTGTGTCAACATTTTCCAATATTCTTTCGAATTGTTCCTTTTAAGACACTTTAAGTCCTGATTGAATTTTCTATTATAAATGTTAAACTCACTTTTCAACTGTTTTCTATATTCACAACTAGCACCCTTTAGTTTTCGTTTTGAAAAGTGGCCGTGTATCAGTTGAAAAGGGACAAAAATAACAAAATCATGATTTACATATTTATTTGAACATCTACAACCCGTTTTGAACATGTTATGGTAAATGAGTCATCATTTTTAACTGTCTCAGCACTTTTCGAATGTGCGTCACTCTCAGCTATATTCTTACATTTTGTCTCACATTTCTTTACATTTTGATATCTAGTCGCACTTTCACATTTTGTCTCACTTTCACATTTTGTCGCGGCTTATGCTCATCCGCAGCACGTAATCCAAATATTTTACTATTATAAATTTAATCTCTTGGCATTTTCAACACTAAAAACTTTCACATTTTGTCGCGGTTCATGCTCATCCGCAGCATGTAATCCAAATATATTACTTGTATAAATTAATCCATTGGCATTTTCTACACTAAAAACTTGAGAACTCTACAATTCCAACTCGTCTTCATTTAATGACCGTTCTTGTTTTTGTCTGTCAGTGGATGTCAATACCTCGCGAAGTTAATGAATTGAAATTAGAAATTAGAAAATGTACCTTGCTTATCAAAAAAGTTAAAATCCAATCTGTTGTACTGATCTCGAAGTGTCACCATATTCCTATGCAATTGGTATTTTTCCTCGTGTTTGGCAGAATTCGACTCATCTGCATGGCTTTAATTTCTTGTTCTGTGAAGGATCGGGCTTCTAAATTTAGTCTAACTTCTGTCCAATTAACATGACGATCGTGTCTTGGAATGAAGTGTATGGAAGACCCAATGTAAATGGCCACGCCGCCATAACCGTCGTCCCTGTTTAAGAGAATAGGTGAATGAAAACCTTGCAATGATATTTTGTCAATGTTCGTGTTTTTACCAATCCATATTTCTGACAGTTTGATGATGTCAGCGCCCTCAATTTTAATGTTCTTATAGAAGTAGGATTAGAAAAGAAGTGGAGAAAGAGGGAGTACCACAACGCGGAGTTCGCACACTCAAGGTGATCACGTCACCTCTGAAATTGATGTAATGATTTCGCTAATCACGGAATGAGAAGAGTTTGGTAAAAGTAATAAACGTGGGAGTAGGATTAAATGAAATTAAGTACTTATCATTTATATATACTCTTCAAAAAAAAAGTAGGGGATATTCAGAAACAATACAAAACTGCGGAAATGCACTACTGTTTTATTAGAGGTAACCAGAGTATGTTAATAACAGGCCAATTGCCTACACATGAACATAAACAGTTCATATGGACGGCTCATCTGACGGTCCCATTTCACTCGCAAAGAGATACACCGTCAAAAGTGAAAATGGACGTTTTTGATTTATGTCTTAATAATGAGTAATTGCTCCACCAATCCTCAGACATTCAGCAATTCGTCGTGGCATCCTCCTAATCAACCGTCCAATCACGATTTTGGGCAATCTGACCCACTCCTCTTGCAGTGCTACGGCCAATTCTTGCAGTGTCGTCGGTTGACGTTGACGTCGACGAAAACATCTTATGCAAGAACCAATAGGAAAGCAAACATGGATAGATAAACCAGGACGCGGCAGTTTTCATCAACCCTTCCTTGACAATTTGACAATAAACCCCTCCCACGTGTATGGCGCTATTGCGTGTTGCATGTGCAGCTCAGTGGTTCTGTTGGGACGATATCTTCTTTATCTGTGAACATATTCTCAAAGCATGTCAAGTGTCCATGATGACTATTTATCATGTCACAACCTGCATAGGTATTTGCATTTCAATATCCCCTACTTTTTTTAAGAGTATGTAAGCAATGTTTTAAATGCAGACAGTACATACAAATACATTGACAAAGAAAATTGAAATATATATAAGAAATATAGAAGTGTGAAAGGTTTGATGGATTCAAGTACTTGAATATGTAAACAGTGTTTAAAATGTAAGTGGGGTATAATACAAGATGGGCATATTTCAAACAACAAACATAAAACGTCGAAAACAACATATACACACTCAAAGCCATTAAAATCGCAATGCCTAATTCGTGAAATATTTCCGGTAAACGTTTTCTTGGGCTTTCCTATCTTATGGCACATAGGTGAAACTTGTGATGCGTCTCTTTTTGTGGAGTTCTGGGTTTGAACCATTTTAAGCAGTCCCATGTCACACGTTTTGAACGTGCATTCCCTGCACTCTGACCCTTTAAATACAGATAAAAATTTCAACATTCATCACTTAGGAAAAATGTTACACCTTACACAAGAAAACATGAACAGAGCTATTGGCATCCTGGATCATGGGGCTTCACAGGTAGCCGTCGCCAGACACTTTAATGTCCACCCATCAACCATTGCTCGCCTCAGACAACGCTTCCACGCCACTGGAAAAGTTGCCGATCGACCCCGACCTGGAGCGCCACCTGTAACAACCGCTGCGCAAGATCGCCAAATCCGACTACAGCATCTGCGCAACAGGTTCCAGCCAGTTACTGCTACTGTCAGTTGAACTGTTGGAACACGGCAACGTCAGAGCAGCCCTCAAACAGTCCGAAGGCGCCTGGCTGCTCTTGGGTTACGCTGCCGTCGACCTTACCAAGGTCAAATCCTTTTGCATCGTCATCGACTTGCCAGACAGCAATGGACCGCAAATCAGGAGTATCTGCACAACACACCATGGCGAAATGTCATCTTCTCGGATGAATCCGATGGACGTCACCCTATCTACCGACGTCGACATGAACGCTTTGCTCGTAACTGCGTGCTGGAAAGGGATCGTTTCGGGGGAGGTTGCGTCATGGTTTGGGCCGCTATCAACGTCAACTTCCGGTCCCAGTTGGTGGTGGTCCAATGCAATCCCACGCTCAACATTATGTTGACGCCATCCTTCGTCCGGTGTTGCTGCCATTGCTGGCTCAACATGGCGTCCGTCGACAGATGGTTTTCCAGCATGACAACGCCCGACCCCACACTGCTAGGTTGACAAGAGACTTTCTGAACAATCATCATGTCCGTGTTATGGATTGGCCCGCTATGTCTCCCGACATGAACCAGATCGAACACCTTTGGGGTGAACTTGGAAGACGGGTTCGAACTCAAGCCGTGCCACCACGAACTGTTGCAGAGTTGGCACAGGTACTCCAAAATCATTGGCAAACAATCCCACAGCGTGTAGTGAGACATATGTGCCAGTCTATGCTAAGTCGACTTCAGGCATGTGTAAGAGCTTAGGGTGGACATACCCGATATTGAATTCAGCTGACCCCTGCTTTGTTTCATGGTTCTCTGTCGTTTCGGTTTTGTGCATTTGTAGTGAATTCTTTCATGAAATTATCCACAGATGCTTGTTATCTCGATTTTGTCAACTGTTATGTACATTTGTTAAAAATTGTTGCAGTAAATAAACTTTGAATTTGGCATTGCGTTTTTAATTACTTTGAGTGTATATTAGAGGTAGAGAATAATATCTCGATTGTGTCTTGGATGAACATCGGATCGTGATCAATATACATGTGTTAATAGTGGGTAGTTTCAATATGAGTCAAATTGGATTTTGAGCCAGAATTATCTAAGTGACTAGTTTCTTTAATCTATGTAGCCTTTAGGTCTTTAAATAACAAGTAAAAGGCTGCTATTACATAGGGGTATACGGTATTCGGTATACGTTTAGAGGTATACGCGAATACTTGTGTTCGAACAGCAGAAATTCGCTTAGCGGTTTACATCGGACTATACGCGTATAAGAGTACGCATGTTCGTTTTTTTCGGCGTATACTTGCTTCAGGGAAGAGTAAATTCCATGGGATGAGTAGAAAATGGGGCATTTGTGTTGTAAAAAGTTCGAATCAAACGTTCTGAACATTGATGGACATATCTCCTGGCATGGTAGACTATTTTAGATTATCAAGAACAGTGATTTCCAGTTATCCCCCCCCCCCCCCCAATATTGGAATGAGCCGACTCAAAGCCTGACCTTCACGCCACCATACTTTACGCCTCCACAAGTAAAAAACCAAGTCAGAGTTTCCTCTTCTTCTGAATCCATTCTGTTTGGATATGAATGAGCCTCTATGAGGGTACCAAAATCGGTTGGGAAAATAACTGACCAGGCCAGTATAGTATATGCCGTGTAAACCGCCGTGCCCGTATACCGAATACCGTATATCGCAAACTCCTATGTAATAGCAGCCTAATAGTAATGGTTGGTAGGTAGGGAAACATGTATACTAGTAGTAGGGATATACACACGTGATAGTAACGGTTAGTTGCAATGGTGGGTATGTACGTACGGATACGTGCTTAATATTGAAATTCAAACGCCAAGGGTTCTTTACGTGCACAGTGCACGCCAAAGTGTACATGGGACCTCGTGTTTTCGTTCCATTCAAACGACTATACGTTTTCCCTTGCCAGGCCCTTCGACCTATATACGCCACTGAAAAGGGCGGAGGTGGGGGGGGGCACGCAGGAAAATCCCAATGAACTTTCTAAGCCAACGCAGACATCGAACACGGGACCTCCAGGTTAGTGAGCCAACGTCTTACTAACTGAGCTACCGTGGGTGTCTCCCAATCTCCAGTGGAAGACATCCCTTACAATAATTTTAACTTGTTTTTTTTTTCAGTCAATGAATGGTTTATATTCCGCAGCAATGGGTAGAATTCTTAAATTACGTGGGATCAATATTTGGTACAAAAGAGGAAACAGACCTCTCATCATGTTTGGTTTTGTGCTTGTGTTCCTGTTTCTGTTGTCATATTTAACGAGCGATAGTTGCAGCGGAGAGAAATGTAACGGGAATGTTCCCTACATAACGACTTTTCAACAAAACCACTGGAGAAATACTACCAAGAAACGCATTTTACGATGGACGGGTTTTTTCTCTGATAAGACATGGGAAGGAATTGACGATCGTTTATTCAGACGCTGCAAAGTTCAATCATGCACCATGACCAATGACAGAAGCCTGTTGGATGACAGTGACGCAATATTAATTCACGTGGGCGCATTATGGAAAGTAGTTGGGGCTCTAGATCTGCCGCAATCGAGACTCCCGTTTCAACGATGGATAATATACAACGTCGAACCTCCTCCCAGAACACCGATTGGTTTCGGACAGCTGGCAGGACTTTTTAACTGGACATCGTTTTATCGTCTAGATTCGGATGTTCCGGTATTCTACGGTGGATACGTTCGACATAACCGCGTACCATATGCTACTAATGTTTCCGGGAAAAACTTTGCCGCGAGGAATTATCAGCTTGCAGCTTGGATGTCCAGTAATTGCTACGATTTTGGGAGAAGACGCCTATTTATAAATGATATGAAACAGCGTCTACCAGAGTTCGATCTTTACGGTAAATGTGGAGGCACGCGGTGTCCGGAAACAATTTGCAGAGAAGTATTATCACGTTACAAATTTTTCTTCGCTATTGAAAATTCTCTTTGCAGAGATTATGTCACAGAAAAATTTTGGGCGGCCTTGGAAAGGCGTCAAATTCCAATAGTTCGGGGGAACATCGATTATGCTAAAATTGCACCACCCCATTCTTTTATTAATGCAGACGACTTTGGTAGTGGTAAAGACTTAAGTGACTTTTTACTTCGTTTATCAAGAAATGAAGATGAGTATAATAAATACTTAAAATGGACGGAACGATACGATGTCTACGGTGAAATTGAGGCTCGAAGGGAATATTTCTGTGACCTTTGCGAGGCTCTTCATGATAAAAGTAGACCAACTCAGGTTTATTCTAATCTAGATGGATGGTACAATGATGAACTTGAAACTTGTCCGCAATGGATGGTGAGTAAACATGGACACTGTTGATTGGAAAGGGTGGGGGCCAAATGGTGTAACACGTACGCACTAGATCATTAGGTCTGTCATTGAGTCAAATGGCGTTGATTCGATTCTCTGTGACAGGGAGTAGGGTTGTCTGACCAAATGCTTGGGTTTTTCTTCGGATCCTCCGGTTTGCTACCCCTGCAACTTAGTTTAAGGAATAGCTAGTATTGGGGAAAAGATGAGCCCTTCGACTTATTCTCTTAAACGTCTTAGTCGATGTCAACCAAAGGTAGATATTTTGACCCCCAACCTCCTCTCACACACGCATGCATATACCACGAACTGGCTACGATCTACAAAATCAGCCAGGTTGTTGTCGAGACCGACATGGACGTGGTCAAGTCTTTGTGAGCGTAGTAAGAGCATGCAATAGCATGGTGTGAACGGGGAGAGCAGTCTTAGGCAACGACCTCGGACCCGCAGCAATTACGTTCTACACACCACCCCACAGCGCGCTCATTACAAAGACAAAATACCTCCAGAAAATCAAAAATTTTGAAAAATCACATAGGGTCGTTCCTGTATGCTACATTGCTAGGCAAATTATTTACACTAAATTCAAAAAAGAAATTATAGTTGTATATATGTTGTTACCTTGACCCATATTATTACTAAGGCAACGGTTCATGTTGTTACCATAACAACGAATACAACCACATATACAATGCATTTTGCTGTCCTGGTAACATAAATTCCGAGTGAGAAAGTTTCTATATATGATGCCATGATTTTTTTTTAATTTCAGCTTGGTAATCAGATATCACGTTTTATTGATGGAATTAAGATTACATTAGGGTTAATGTGAACTGACAAAATACAAAGAGACTAATGTCGAAAAACTTTAAACTAAAAACTGAATTAAAGATACATTATGGGAGATTTTTATAGAGAGTTGGCCATTCTTGCTATAACAGTTCAAAAGTAGATGATGAAAGAAGAATATATTGAAAATTTCAGTCAAATTACTTTATTCTGAACATAGTTATCATCGTTGTAATATTTGACTAGAAATGGTAGTGAAATGTGCCTTCACCTTGGCCGAACGTTTGATTGACAGGCGTTAAATCCACCTACATATCTCGAATATCAAGTAAAGTTTTCAATGGCATGTGGAAACGCCCTACAGCGGCCTCGCTAAGTACACTCTATCATTTAGTCTCGATCTAACTGACGTATTCTCATCAGGGTGCGCCATATTTGAATTTATCAATAAGTGAAATCCTATTTAAATCCGAGCTGTAGCCGAGCCATCCGTGGGTCTACAGAGTTGATTTTGGGCTTGTTGTTTAAATAAAGATCTAATTTATAATTTCTATAACATCTGAAGCCTAAATTAACACTTGCAATAATCAAATTTTGCTCTTGCATAATGTATGTTTATTGTGTTAACATATAATTTCCAATGCATACTATTTTGATATTTTTAAAACTCATATTTACACATTTCAAAAGTTAAGGATGCATTATGTAAGATTTAGACAGAGATCTGGCGGTTCTCGCTATAATAATTAAAGATGCATTATGTAAGATTTAGATAAAGATCAGGGTCCTGTTTCACGAAATTTTAACTAAAGATAAAATCCAAATTTTAGTAGATACTTAAATTTTGATTGGCTAAGCACTAAAATCGATCTAATATTATCCAATCAAATTACTAAAATTTGGATTTTATCTTAGTTAAAATTTCGTGAAACAGGCCCCTGGTGGCCCTCGCTATAATAGTGAAAGATGCATTATGTAAGATTTAGATAAAGAGCTAGAGGTTCTCGCTGCATTATGTAAGATTTAGATAAAGAGCTAGAGGTTCTCGCTGCATTATGTAAGATTTAGATAAAGAGCTAGAGGTTCTCGCTGCATTATGTAAGATTTAGATAAAGAGCTAGAGGTTCTCGCTGCATTATGTAAGATTTAGATAAAGAGCTAGAGGTTCTCGCTGCATTATGTAAGATTTAGATAAAGAGCTAGAGGTTCTCGCTGCATTATGTAAGATTTAGATAAAGAGCTAGATAATGAAAAATGGAATATCTTGAAAATTTTAGTCAGATTACTTCATTCTGAGCGACGTTATGGTAAACAAAGTCTCGATTATCCATTTTTTAATTAAATCATTAACCACCAATCGTCTTAAAATCTGTTGAAAATTAAGAGCCTAAAGAAAGATCAGCAATATGCAGAATTAGCTCTTGCCTAATGCATCGTTAAGCTGTTTGGAATATACTAATCATTAGCTTTTGGAATATTTGGAGTGAGTTTACAATTTCAGTTTCATTTTTTACTCCCCAGGCTCAAATGCCAAATGTATTTATACTGCTGAGGCATCATTATTATAAATTGTTTGCTTCATTTAAAATGGACATAACGGTTACTGAAAGTTCTTAGTATTTGTAATAATCCTTCCATGTGTATATGTTATAGTTTTTAGGGTTTTTTATTGTTTTTTATTTTTTTGCTTTATCCAGTTAGTAAACGCCTCTAAATTGTTATGTTTATAACAGTTATTTTTAATATGACAGTACATATTTATTGTTAACATGGTTTCCAGCCTATGTGACAAGACATTGGTATTGATAAGCTGAAATTTATATGATCGATATCTTAATATTGATGCACCAGCGTTGTGCATGTACTCTGAATTAAATCTAAGTGCAAAACCTGGGCCCTGTTTCTCGAAATCTTAACTAAATATAAAATCTAAATTTTAGTAGATACTTCAATTTTTATTGGCTAAGCGCTAAAATCAATCTAATATTATCCAATCAAATTAGTAAAATTTGGATTTTATCTTAGTTAAAATTTCGCGAAACAGGCCCCAGTACAGTAAAAGATTTATAACCTATAGTGCCATCACACATTCGAGGGCTGGGTAAAAAGTTCTAAGCCTGAAAGGGAAAATAATTTGGTTGAAACAAACTTTTGTGACCAATAAGTACAATCATTAAATGAATCATAGATATAAGAACTGCAAGTGTGGTGTTATTGTCTTCGTACCAGACAATCTTGTAAACATATCCATTAAAATCACCAGAAATGGCAAAAACTGGCTATAGGCAAGCCATCAAGTACCTGCAACTGAAACGACTTACCCCAACACGGATACGTGCTGACATGGTCTCCGCTTTAGGGGATGACGTCCCTTCCTTTACCACAGTAAAGAAGTGGGCTAAGGAATTTAAGCGTGGCAGAGAGAGAGCCTTGACGATGACCCGCACCCTGAAAGGCCATCGACAGCAACCACTAAGAAAACATGATCCGGGTGTATGGCAGTGTTGGTAGCATCTCTCATGAGAGGGCTGAGGACATTATCGTCAACGACACAAGTTTCTGCAAGATGGATGCCAAAGCTCTTGAATGTGGATCAGAAACGTGTCAATTCCTGACGTCTGTGCCGTTTTGAAGCAAATCCTGGCCACACTTGTAACCATGAATGAGACGTGTTTCCAAAAATGGAAAAGGAACTAGTCGGTCGTTATTTTTCTACTTTGTTTTATGGTGGCCGAAGAAAATTTCTTCCTGAATCCAGACCTTGCCACGTCGTTGGCAAAAGTGTGTACACCTCAAAGAGGAGTGTGTAGAAAAATAAACGGAAACCATCGACTTAGTAGTACAGGTCTTTCACAGATAGGCTTAGAACTTTTCAGTCGGCCCCCGCATTCTGGTTAATAGTGCAGTCGAATTAAAATTAAGAGATCAAGAACACTGCATTTAGTTCAAATGTGTCAAATTGTGTGCAGTAAAAGATCCCTTGGCAGTTGGAAAATCGATATAAGAGTAGGTCGTAGTGCATCTGTCCGGGTAAAATTTCCCACATAGCAGACTGTATGGCATATGCCTGTCTTCCTTAGCCCAGTCGAAATAGAAAAGTAGGACGTTAAACCCCATTTCATTTCATTTCTGTAGACCTATAACAAATATATCATTACTTTATTTCAATAATACATAATTTAAATATTATTATCATTTACAAATGTGCAGCATCCATTTTACAGAATAGGCATAGTATACATAGTATATATTTATTTTTATGTCATAATGCATAATAAAAATTTTATATTAGAAGTTACAAATATATGTTTTATCCATTTTACAGAAAAGCCATTTTATGTATATTGCATATATATTTTTATAATAAAAATAATGTATATTTGTAATGCGCTTAATAATCCATCCATATATATACGCATGCTCAAGATTAGAGGTTTTATTTTAAAATTCATATAGGTGTAGGTGTTGTTTATAAGGCGAGAAGCTATCAAAATTATTCACAGCAATCTCCTCATTTCTATTCTGAGGGACACGATCTGTGCCGATCATGTGAACTTCACCTGATATAAATAGTTCGCAGTAAAAATTTTAACATTTTCATGGGGTTCAATTGAGTCAAATTGTTGCTCAGCAATAAAGAGTCATTTTATTCCATAGAATTAATCACACTGATCAGCAGTGAATATTCAGAAATAATACTCTGTGAAACAGATTGAGAATTAATATGTATTATACTGTGTATAATAGTGATGAAGCGATACCTGTTTTCTAGATGTGCACAAATTTCACATAAATATTGATCTAACTTAAACTTTACCGGCTTTCTCAATATTAATCTATTGTTTAGACCATATGGAAATCACTAATGCAGATTTTATTGTGTACGTAAATTATTGAGTAGAATTATTGGCGCCTGGTTGATCTACGGAAGTAGTTCCATATGAACGTTACTGTTTTTACGTCATTTTGTGGCCTCATTAAAAATGGGGAGGGGATATCAAATAGTTTAAGGTTTGTGCTTTAGAGCATATGGTCTGTGATAAGAGTTAAGGGGTGTGGTTTCGATTCATAGCTTGTGCGTGACAAGTAGTAGGGACGCCTGCCCAACCTCGTGGGTTTTCTGTAGGTCCCCAGGTCTCCCCCATTGCTAAAGACCCCCACGTAAAAGCGAAGAATTGAAATAAAATTGAACCATTTTTAATCCCGAAATGATGTGGTTTGTCTCGAGTAGTTGGTATTGTTCTTTGGTCCCGGGGTGGTATTATTTAATAGTCTTATACTGTAGCTATAGTCTATACTGCTGTGAGGTTTTATTTTCAGAAAAATTTAAGTGTTGTTTTTAAACGTTCTTAGTGTTTATATACATTATAATAAATAATTATTTATTGATATCCCGACTAAATATATATTTATTCTCAATAAAATTTTCTTAAACAGGTTACGTTTTTATCTTGCTTATTCCCCTTAAACACGTCTTCCAAATTTATGAATAAATTGAAATCCTATATTCCTGAGACACTATTTTTATAAGCCCCTGGAGTTATCCCTCCCTCCCCCCACTTACCCTTTGGACGAGGACGCGTTTGAGACTGCAGCTTATAGAAGATTTCTTTCAATCTGGCATGAGCATTTGGACCACTATTATGGGGGGGAGGTCGGCCTATATGGCTGAGAAACATGTTTCTCGAGGAATGAACGGACGCATGCACTCGCTCTTATATGAAATTTGGATATAATGCCGATTTATTGTAAATATAGCATATAATAATATAGACAAATGGTAATTATTTGTATTAATATATTTGTCTCTGAGATAATAAATGACAAGTAACCCCAGCTGTAACACACAAAGTCACACTTTCCTAATTGCCTGCTAATCGGAGTTTAACGCCTGTTTCCATGGAAGTCATATCAGTGACAATTGTTCTTAATTTCGTGTGAAATAGTTTTAACGTCTGCTACCCTAGAGGTGATTTCTTGATTAATTCCGTTTTAATAATGCTAATGATATAAGTGACCATCTAGTTCCATCGGGAGAATGGGCACCGTTCAAGCAACGAGATTAAAAGAACAACAAAAATGAATGGGGTTTAACGTCCTACTGTTCTGCACCGACCGGGTTCATGAGGGAATTTTTTCCCGGACAGCAGCGCTGTTATTTTGAATTCCAACTACCAGGGATGGTTTTATGTCCGATCCGAACAACTAGACTCAATACATCGCCGATAAGGGGAAACGCGCCGCCTTACCCACTGAGTCACCACGACTCTGTTAAAACAATTTACATGATCAATAATATTTAATTTATATCCTAAGGCAAGCTATTGAATTATAGACTTTAGTTAAAGGGGCATTGGTTAAAATTAGATAAAGAGCTGACAGTTCGCGCTACGATAGTTAAAAAATAGATAATGAAACCGAATATGCTAAATAAATCTCAGTCAAATTGCTTCACTCTGAATCGAGATATTAGCGATTCAATTTTAGACTAGCCTCGGTCATCATTACTATCGTTGGTATGATAATAAAGTCTCGATTATCCATTTTTACTTTAAATCATCCACCACAAAACGACGTATACAAATCCAATAAACGCAAGCTATTGAATCATAGACTTTAGTTAAAAGGGCATTAGGTAAGATTAGATAAAGAGTTGACTGTTCGCGCTACAGTTAAAAAATATTAAAAAATAGATAATGAAAACCTAATAAACTGAAAATCTCAGTCAAATTGCTTGACTCTGAATCGAGATATTAGCGATTTTATTTTAGACTAGCCTCGGTCGTCTCTACTACCGTTGGTACGATAATATAGTCGCGATTATCCATTTTTACTTTAAATCATCCATCACAAAACGTATTCAAATCCAATAAATCTCACGGGCTAGCGATGACATCGAGAGTTGATTATATATGTGTTTGGTGGTTGCTGGTTTCTATTTATAAAAAACTAATTATGAATGATCCAGATGGTGTAAATATGAAACGAC